TCCATCCTATTCTCCTTCCATTACTTCTTCAATATCTTGTTTCTCATGTTCTCTTTGCAATCGCAATCGAAGAAGTCAAACGGACAACAATTCCGTAGGTTTGAAATCCAGCAAAGTCACCCTCCAATAACGGTAAAATCAGGATCTCTGCTACTTCTTGTCGCTGGAATCAACTTGACAAACACATTTTACATCTGATAATCGGACGATTAGAATTATTCAACAACGTTCGTTTCAGTACGGTGTGTAAATCATGGAGATCGGCGATCCAGGAATTCCCCAATCCTAAACAGTCGTTTGGCAGCTGCTTCGTCGCGATCCACTTTGTGAATACCTCACCTTTCTCGACTTGCACACCGGTGCCCTCCACAAGTTGGAGCTTCCTGAATCGGTGCGAGGAAAGTAGTGCTGGTGCCAGGGATCCTCCGATGACCGCTGGATTGTGGTACTTACCGCTTATTATCGTCGTTTACTTCGAAAATTAGTTCGGATTTCTCTATTTGATCCAATTTCAAGGATAGAATTGAAACTCCCTAAGTTTGGATCTGAAATCCGTCCATATTGGTGGAAAACTGTAGACGCTGTTCTCTCTCATTACATTAATAGATTCGAAGTGTTTTCTCTGGATGGTTCCCAACATGTAGTTGCAGCAATATTTGATGGATATGCTTTAGCATTTGGCAAGGCTGGTGGTAAAGGATGGAGGCTGTGTTTAAGCAAAGTTATCATCATCTTGATATTTGTTTTGTTAACGGAATGCTGTATGTTTTATTTGATCCTGATTCTACATCTCGTTTGATGTGGCAGTTCAAAACTCGTTTGATGAAAATGCCGGCCATGAGATCATTCTGAAGCTCATTCCTAATTCAACCCCGATAAGAGGACCTGTACATTCTGCTGCATTATCGCAAGTGTCAATTGATTTCTGCAACATCTCAAGTTTTGTGAATTTCAATGGTGAGTTATTAAGAGTTCAAAAATTATTTAATGTTTCAGAACTATATGACCAGTATCATGGTAAAAGATTTTTTGGATTTGATTTGAGTATGT